TCAAATTGCAAGTACAATAATATTATCCTAAACGACTTGCGTATAGTTGGTGTGCAAACGGTTGACGAACCAAAGTAACACGGCGCTCCGTATAGGCAATTTAGGTGCATCCGTCCTTTGCAGCGATATTATTATCACTACGTTAATATTAATACCATAATAATAATAATAATAATAATAATTATATTTTCTATTTGAATCCATTGTGGCGTTTTTACGTTATGATTTCAAAAGACACTCGCTATAATATTATATAGTATGTTATAATTTATTATTATTGTAATTATCTACGTAAAGGTGTTGTTATTAATTACGACCAAGAACAATAATATAGAATATAAATGTCATGTTTACCCGATGGTGTGTGGTAGGTATGATACGTATCTCACGACGATAATAAGGCCAAGACGAGCATCTTGACGGGCGGGAAGACAGCGTTCCGAAAATCCGTTATTAATTCTGCGTCGTTAACCCGTAAGAAAGAAAGCCAGTCGGTGTGGCGTGATAGAGAGACGATCCATTTGAGTTTTGGTACCACGTGCTTTGTATAAAATATTTCGGAAATTTTCAGAGGTAACTCGGTCATATCGCGAGGTAAAAGCGCGGCCGCCCGTTGGAGAAACGCGTCAGGTATTAAAACCCAGCAATATATGCTTGACGACCTTATAGAAAGCGATAATACCATCTGCAACGTAACACTTTTAATGTTGAGCACTTATCATCATATTATGACTTATTATCGTTTTGAGGAAATAATAATTATGTTTTTACTTTGTTTATAGTTATTGTTTTTAATTTTTATTTGAATGCATATTATAATAATAAGTTTAGTTTCATATTCTGAAGCTTAATATGAGAAATTCAATATACAAAAATTAGATTTTCAACACAAGTATTCACCTTTTCAATAATCAACTTCTAAGCATACAGAGTGAAGTAATTAATTGGCCATATTAACTTCCAATTAAATAATATGGTAGTATTTACATTTTTGTGTTTTTTAAAAAACCATTTTTGTCTAATTTAAAATATTTATTACTATATTTTTACTATTGTACCATAAGTATATTTAGGTTTTCATTAAAATAAATAGGATTTTTCATAGGTATTAGTTTTTAATTTAGTATTTAATTTTCTAGTAACCACATCAGTTATGCTGAACTTAATTTGGTTTCATAAACACTTCCTAAACCAATCAAACCTTGTTATCGATAATATTTATTAATCTTCAATGACTTAATAATTAATAATTCTTAATTACACATTCTAAAAATTCAATATATAATATTATAAAAATATAAAATTGATATAATTTTAGGTTGTTGTATACATAATATACATGTTTATTAAAATACTAAGTTGAAGTTGAAGAATTGACAATATTAAATTTTAAGCATTTGTTATTAATAAATTATTATTAATAATAATAAACAATAGTTGTGATACAATATTATATAATACTGTTTGCGCTGAAGTCGAATGTGTGTAAATTCCTGCAAATTATGTGAAAAAAAAACTGAAACACCAAAAGTATCAATAAAAATGATCCAATAATTATATAAATATTTTTTTATTAGTAATAAAAAGGTGTGTTCACCGTCAGACCTCGAATCTACAGCATTTCATAAACGCAATACCACCCAACTTTACCATACGCGTTATGATCTATTATATTATTATTATTCTTTACGCATTGTGCATAATATTCTTGTCGACATCGAAAAGGGATGATGCGATTGTCGCGCGAGAGTGTGTTTTAGAAGAACGAATAAAAACGGCTCTTTACAAAATTTGTTTAGGGCATACCCTCATCCGACCTCATATATATTAACACACGTAAATGTCACGATAGCGATCGTTGGAAAACTTGCTTCGGGTACACAACAATCGTATCACAGTGTTTAAAGTAGCACCAAAATTAAATTATAAGTTTGAAATTATAATAACATTAAGATTTCGATCGTCAGTTGTGCACTCTTTCGTTTGAACCGTGTGAGATGATTTTTTATAATATTATAATAATATAAAGTAAGTAATAATATTGTTTTTATTATGGTTCAATCGATCGTCATTGAATAGTTGTTGTCGTTTAATAGTAATATTTTCTAAATATTGTTTGATATATATTAGACGTATAAATATTATGTATTTAACGTAAAATATTTTTTAGTTAATTATTACTTTTGAATATCAGTATTTTTAACTTAATAATCAAGAGCAGATTTATTGTACATAAAGACGATAATGTACAAACCTCGATAACTAATAACTTATAAGTTAGGTATAATATGTAACTTAGTTAATTACGTACGACTATTTAGATTTTGGATATATATCTTATAAATTGTATACTTGGATTATTGATTTTATAGTGGTAGATACACACAGAATTCGCATTACTTATAATTCAGTACTAAGTACGTACGTATTTGTAAGTTAGTCAATATTTTTGTATTTATTATTATGGTTTTATTGATGTTAGTTATAAATTATAATAATATATATTATCCATCGTGGGTGGTAAAATTACAGAAACAGTATAATACATTATACAACAGGCAACATGCATTCTTTGAAACCTAATTCTCTCATACATGACTGCACTAGTGCAGTAGTGCACTCACATCAGACATAAAATGTCTTGACATCGTAATTAATTTTAAAATAAGTGTTATTTTTCAGTACAAATTATTATTGATTGGTCAATAAATCCGCGTTTGAAATTATGGTTTTAGTAATTTATTGAAATGCAACTAAAATATAAAAAAAAGTGAAGCATGTTTTACGATGTTTAATTAAAGAACGTTAAAAATGGTAGTCACAATAGCAATGTAGCACAGTTTCTAAATCTGTCGTTACAATTTGTAATGGAATATACATTTTATACATTTGAATGTGTTAATTAACGTGAGTTGTTGACATTTGTTATTTTCAACTTTTCATGTACCGAGTAAAACTTATAGCGTGATAATAATATGTCTTGTTGTACTTTTTCCAATCCGTACAAAGCGTAGTTTAGTAAAGAAAGTTAAAATAACATAATGATCTTAAAAGTGTTGTAATGAGCATTTTATGTTACATAACTATATTATATTTGTTTTCGATAGAGTTTATTTTTCTACATTTAACATAACATTTCCGGCATAGTTATGTAAAATTACATACTTTATTATTACGTTTACCTATTGAATTGTTAGTACAATACTATATAGTATGTATAATGTATTATACTAAACAAAGTAAAAAAAAAAAGTCATATTTTTGCCTTGATTTAATATCAGCTGTTATCTACCATAGTACTTTCATGGAATAAAATTAATTAATTTATATCAAAATATTTTGACTATTTTTCTGTTTTTTTTTTATATATATATTTAAAATATTCACGAGGTGCAGTCACTGGGTTACTTCCCCTAACATCAATCAAATCACATTAAATTTACCCTATGTATAACATGTAAATACAAATTGTAAATATAAACATTTTTGTGCAATACGAAAAAAAAAATGTTTGAACTTGTTTTTGTTCAATTTATGTATGATAATATTTTTGTTTATAAATACAAGCTTGAAAATGAAATGAAAGGTTTAGCATGATTTTTTTTATTATTTAAATAAAGTTTAGAGAAAAACTACAGTAATTTTTAATATATAAATATATATAAATTAAAATGTCGACGACATTATTTTATATTTAGACAAGGTATAATTACCATTTATCCTGTAAGGATAAATGGTATTTCGTTATTATTCAAAAAATATAAACCGTAGAAACTTGAATCATTCGACTTTTATTGTTATCCATTTACTATACACAAATACATTTTTAAAATATTTAGATTCATATAAGCTATGTGTACCATGGACCTACTTACATCGTTCTATGGTAACGTAAGTCGTTATAATTATTGACTTATTGAATTATAAGTATATAAATATGTACTGTGTAATCTACTTAGTTAGTAAAATTAATCTAATAATAATAATTACTAATATATTAGGTAATAAATATTAAGTTTGTTTTTGACAAATATAAGTTCATCTTAACCTACATAATCTACTCAAATTCGTTTGAAAAACGACAGTAAACTGCAATTATATCATTGATGGACATTGTAAAAACCCTGATCTCTATCCACTGTGCAGAGCCACCTAACCTCCCTCCATAAAAATCGGTGATATCTACCCAGCTGTTATTTTTCTTATAACTATGTTTGGCACTAACGATAATTCCGGTATTCAAAAAGAAACCACAGGCAACAGGTGGTCTTTTATCCTCCATAAGTTGTCTTGTTTCTGCGAAATAAAACCATGGCTTCAAACTGGTGGGAAATACTATCACATCAGAAATCAATTTTTGACGATGACAACGATAGTGACTTAAATCAATGAAAATATAGAACTTTGCCCCTAGCGTATATGAAGACCATGAAGTCCCTAATGAAGAGCCACAACCAGACAAAAAGAGAAAACTCAAATTAACAAATTAATTTGGGTATGTTTTTACTCAGATAATTATTGTAACGGAGTATAACATAACACTAACAATAGAGAACGGTACACAGCATACACGAGACACTATAATAAACAGTAGATTGTATAGAACTATATCACGTCACTATGACGAGTGAAAACTGCACCGAGCCAAACTCAACCACCAGGCAAAGTCATGGGAATACTCATCATACCAACAAATCACAACCAACCAGAAACGACAACGGTGAACAAGCAGGGTATATATGTCGATGAAGTTCACCAGTCCAACCATAGCTGCTCAAACTTTATCCACTCACTATCCTGACAATACCAAACCACAATGCTGATATACTGTACGTAGCTATTCTCAAAACAATGAAACTAAGGTACTCTATAGAAAATCTCACAGCTGAACTTTCTTCCGATCACACCCCTATCATTCTTGAACTACAAGCCCAAGGCACTCAAACCTTACCACCCAAAACACTAAAAACACTAAAAACATAAGCTTTGCTCTCAAGAAAATGCAAACTCCAGAACAAGTTGACCAAGCCATCCCTAAACTCACAACAAAAATAGCTGCCCTCGTAAGCAGTAACACCCATGTTACCAATCCAAAAGATCGAACCCGCAACCTGCCCATCAACATCCTAAACGCAATCCACAAAAATCGCAAACCGAGAAAAAACTGGCAACATACAAGAAATCCAGATGTGAAGACACTACTCAACAGACAAACAACCCTAGTCCATGACCTAATGCACTCACACAGAGACAACGAATGGGTCAACTTTCTGAGCAACATCGACCCCACAAGTGAAAGCTGGACAAATATCTATAAGCTAAACATAAAACTCATGCACAAACGACCAGCTGTACATCCACTTTCAGACAATCAAAATATTCTACGCTATGATGCAGTAGCCAAATCGGAAATATTCGCTGATTCGATTGAAAAACAATTCCAAACACCAGACCACACGACTCACACTGACGAATGAGTCAAGAATGCCATTGAAGCTCATTTTAAATTACCTTACACCAAGAGCATTTAATTCTCCCTCTGGCGAAATTCAGTACACCACAAAGAAGCTACCAAGTCAAAAAGCACCAGGCCCTGATCAACTAACTAACGCCAGTCTCAAACACTGTGATAGGAAAGTATTATTACAACTACGATATGTAACATACTGAACGCCTGTAATAGACTGGAATATTTCCCACGGAAATGGAAACACGCCACAATCATCAAGATTCCAAAACCAGGAAAGGACGTCAAGCAACCAGTTAACCACAGACCAATCTCATTGCTGAACACGCTGGGGAAAGTATATGAGAAATTGATCCTGAATCATTTACAATATTACTTAAAGGACCATATAAGACCCGAACAATTTGGATTTCGAGCAAACCACAGTACCACCACTGTGGCACCACCCAACTTTTCAAGATTGTTGATGAAATCTCAATAAATCTAAACAAAAGGGTAAAAACAGCCACAGCATTTTTAGACATCGAAAAAGCCTTCGACAAAGTCTGTCATCGAGGTCTTATTTACAAACTCATACAATTTCAACTACCAATTCAGCTGCTTAAACTACTCGAATCGTTCCTGCAACACAGGACATTTGAGGTAAGAATCAACGACTCATCGTCATCAAGTAGCCCATTCTCACAGGTGTACCGCAAGGATCTTGCCTATCCCCTCAGCTCTTCTCGGCTTACATCAATGACATGCCCCATCACAAATATTCCAAACGGCCCTATTTGCAGACAATACTATGTTCTACGTTTCCGGACCTACCACTAACTGCACCATTAAAATACTACAAATCTAAATAGACCTAGCCTATACATGGTTCAAAGATTGGAAGGGATCAATAAACCCTACAAAAACCAAAGCAATTCTGTTCCGCAAACAAAATAACATATCACACGAATAACATACAAATGGAAGGCAACACCATAAAATGGTCCACCATAGCCAAATACCTAGGAATAACAATTGACTCCAAACTCTACTTTACCTTCCACATCACAAACACAATAAACAAAACTAAAGCTGCAAAACACTGAATATTTCCAGTTATCAACAAAAACAGTCCAATTCCCCTCAAAATGAAATTACATATACATATACAAAACCTACCTAAGGCCAATCCTTACATATGCAGTACCAGCATGGGCCTCCAACATATCCCAAAATTCTAGGAAAAACTGGAGAGTACTCAATCAAGCATATTAAGAACCATCACGGACAGTCAATGGTTTGTAAGAAATACAACTATCAAGAACTCTGCGGAAATTCCATCCATCAGATTTCACATACAGACTGAAACTTCAAAATTAAAATCCAACATCTCAAATTCAAAATTCTCACACATCTCAAATATAAGCAAAAGAACCTCAACTAAACAGTTATTCATAAACAGACCAATCTCCTTCTAAACAAATAAATACCTAACTCATGAACTATCTCAGGCCCCTCTGAAAAAAGTATCAAAGCTTGGAACAGAGAAACTAAAAACAAAGCAATGCAATGCAGTCCAACTGTCAAGTCGTCAAGTCACACCAGAAAGCCTGTACTATGAAACTCACTGAGCATCGCCATACTGATCGTACGGTTTCAGCCGTCTATCAGCACAGTGGGAAACCGCTAAAATAATTTCGAGAAGCCTATACACCTATGAAGCCAAAACGCAACCAGGACCACCACACTCTGTAAGTACCAAATTATTTTCTACTTCTCCCCTGATCACGAGGCCAGTGCACCTGAGGGGTGCACTCAGCCGGGTTACGAACCAATCGCACCCAACCAACAATGGGCAACCACCGCACAGCTCAAAAACGGCAAGAAAGCCAACTCCTTACCATCAGCCAAAGTACAACCCACCATACAACTCCATCAATGAGATGCGCCGTCTTCTAGCAATTAACAAACTTACCATGAACCTAAATCCCCAACCTCTTCGTCCGAATCTATTAACTCGGATGGCAGTTGGGACAGCAATGAATCTCAAGTCTCTCGCTCTCTCACTCCAAACCTGTCTGAACCTAACCTTCATCAAGCTGCTAAAACCATGCAGAAAAATTCAACATCTGCTTCAGATAAAAATCATATGTTAAATACAATTCAAGCGAATATTAATGAATCAATGTCAGATAACTCTAACAATAACAATTCCATCCACTCTACTACTCCTCAGCCACCAAAAAACAATCCAAAAATCCCACCTATCATTCTTAAAGGCTCAGCTTGGAGAAAAGTGGAGGGCAAACTTATGACTATCATACCAGAAGACTCAATAGAAACTAAAGCATTTGGTCCAGACTCCATAAAACTTCAATTCTTCGACATCAAACTATTTCGAATAATTCAAAAATTCTTACAAACTCGAACACAAAATACCATACTTTCAGCCTTCCTGATGAAAGAGCACTTAAAATTGTTATAAAAAATCTCCTAAGGGAAATCACAGACACTGAAATTTCGGAAGAACTGACATCAACAACGTCGAACGATATCCGTGCAACCAGACCAGCGTGTTCCGCCCGCTCACCGAGGAAGAGAAATACCGCCGATACCGTCAGTCACGTCTATCTGTCTAACCAGGAGTAGCCACCGGTAGAGACCATGACCCGAGCTCGGCAGACTACGGAGACTCGGCCAATCAACGACGTACAGTGGTTCAAAAATGAAAATAGTTGGCCAAAAGTCGATATTTTGAATTTGAAAATACTCAAATAAAGATATCAAAAATATTTTCTGTAATAACCAAAGTAAATAATTATGCAAAACGAATTGCAAAATAATATTAGCAATACCAATAAAATAATAATTGAAGTGGACGAAATATAGTTTTTTTCATAATTATTTTGATATTTTGTCACTAATCGTCATATAGTTTAATTTTCAACAATAAATAAAATAAAATAACTTTAAAATATTTATTAATTTATATACGTTGGATAAGATACTAAGATAGTATTTAATGACTCAATTATGAAATAATGACTGTTATTAACCAGTATGTGGCAATTGAAATGAACAATGTCATAAATAATACGATATAACGCTATTCACTTTTAAAAACATACAAATCTAATCATGTTTTTCATCAAGTTACACGGCGATATATACACCATCATTTAGACCACGATCTACTGATTACAAAACTATCATTATTAGTTACTCGTATTTGCGCGTTTCGTTTTAGTGAGCACTTGAAGTTGAACAGGCTTATTTATAAGCAATATTTGATTGAATGAAAAACACCGTATTTTTTTATGGTTTAGGAACACAAATTATAAATTTAAGTAAAATGCACTTTGTAAGAAGTGTGTTTCTATTTCCAAAAAAAAAAACAACTATTGAAATCGGTTTTTTTTACGTTTATTGACAGTTTTTTTCTGTAAAAAATGTTTTTGAGAAAAAAATAGGTCGCGTGGAGGCCCGTTAAGTCGGTAACGAATGCGAATTACTTTTATAATAATTATTCTGTAAGTAACAGATCATTTTATAAGATTTCTGTGAAAATTAGAATTTTGTACAACTATTTTCATTTTTGAACCACTGTGCGACGCCGCTACACACAATCGACGAAGAACATCGTCAATCGCTCCGTCAGTATATAGACTGCCGGGATCGACGACAACTCCAAGCCGATGACCACCGTTCCTGGCTCAGCTACACGGCAACCCACCATACCGGGACGGCCCACAACCACATCCGCATCCCGAGCATGCGACGACTACGGGAGGACCCGGCCACGACCAGCAGAGCGACAGACGACCACCTCCCGATAACGGACATCGCCTCGGAACTCCCACCAATAGGAGAACAACAACTTCCCAGCCAAGCCAGGTATCAGGGGCCCAGCCGGACCAAGGTGAACTACCCAACGCATATTGTTGATCCTGTGTCTCCTGTACGTTTATATTAAAGATTATTTATAACACAATAAAAGAATGGGATACCGATAATTAATCATCTGCATTATATTCTTTCACGAGACGGACGGCAGTATTGCCTACTGCCCCGTATCATAATATTGTACTTTAAATTATGACGGGCGAATGATTTTATTGCCAAACAAATATTCAAAGCTGGACAAATTCATTAAAATTGTAAACATTTGTATACAGATATTTTAAAATTGTGAATCTATTTTTTTTTGTTCACTGTGTTTATATAAATAATTTGTTTTATTTTAATTTTTTTGCACCTATTTGTGCAATAGGTAATTTTTTATTACAGTTTAAATTAATGAGAAATTACAGAAGTCATGACTTTTAGTATACGTTAGTTTTTAACACAGTTATTGTGTCAATAATCAGATTGATGTTAATTGTTAAAGACAGTTTTACCATATAAAAATAAGTTTCAGATAATCAATAGTATAGGTAGTTATAGCGCCAATGGATATATCAACAACATTACAGCTTCAGTTATAAATTTAATTTATTTATAATTCAAAAAAAATGTACAATGTGCAAAAATCTAAAGTATTTAATTCCTAAACAGGTCTTTTCGGGGTACAACCACAAGTTTATGCCAAACAAAATTTTCGAAAAAATACTGTACTTATATAACACTAATCTGTGAAAATTCAATTTCGCAAAATAGTTTATTTCTATATTAAATACGTTTAAATTGTATTGTTGTGTTTAACATTTTTTCATAAGTTCAAAGGTTAACGAATTACAAGGAAATCGTTAGAAATACCGATTTTTCCTACATTGGGTTGTTGAGGATAATAATATGCCAAAGGGGTCATTCGGCAGATATTTAAGTATGTTTACTGGGAAGGTAGGTATGCTTTATGTGTGTCCCAAATTTCCTTGGAATTTCCTTCAGGAAGATTTCTTCCAATATTTCTCATAACTTGGCTAGGTTAACCATACAGCTAAAAAAATATCAATTACCAATAGCAATATGAATATATTATAACAAAGCACAGGTCAAAACCGTTTTTTGTTTGCAATTATTTACCATGGAATTCATTGTTAATACGTCCAACACTAAGACTATACCAACATTTGTTGCAACATGTGACTATCTAGTAGATATATTCTTTACAATTACAGTAGAGTGATTTCGGTGTTTTTTCTTTTATTATTATTACTTTTTCTGATGTAAATAAATTACATCAAATATCAATGTTAATTTTTCTATTAAATCGTATCAAACTAAAATATTTTTGATTCATCGAAAATGATTATTAATTGTATAGTGTGTTGCAAAAACATTTTATAAATTAAACAATTTATAATTAAAATCTGTGTTAGACATTTATGGGTACTGAATTATTATTACTCATTTATAACGTTTAATATTTTTTTAATTTATAGTGATGTTAAATAATGTTATTGCGATCCCATTATTTAATTAATTATTATTTTACTCGTTCAAAAGTCTCTTTAATTTTAAATGATTTTATATTAACCTACCAAATTAAAACAGAATGTTCAAACTTTGACAGTTGTGTACCTATTAAATTTGTTTCCACTAGCTAACCACTCCATTACTACATAGATAAAAAAAATATTTAAAAAGACTCAAGTCATATGTATTCCATAAAATAGGTGTTTTATATATCCCACCGAAAACACTCCGCCAAACTCCCTGTCAAAAAAAAGTATAAACAAAACTAACTCTTAAGGTTATGATATAATTGTATAGCTAAATCTTTGAACTATAGATTTAATTTGTGTTAAAATAGTCTGTTAAATAATTTAAATTTTTGCTATTTAATTCTTCTATTTTTATTTCATGTCTATAAATATAGTTTTTTTTATGCCTTAACAACACAAAAACAAATTATTTTAAAAGAGTTGACCATTGAAACTTTTTTTGAAAATAAAAACGATCTAATACAAACGATTCTTATTTGATATTTAACTTGGTTTTTGCTCGCCGATATGGTTTTTAACAGACAATAATATATGGATTTGTGGTATCATCTCAAAATCATTGGTAACCCGTCTTATTTAAGAATTTAGTGAATAACAAAAATACCACAAAATCTTAATTATCTCTGCTTATCTTATGTAGATAAATTATTATAAATGAGCTGTAAATACATTTGGTTACAATATTTTGTCAGTTAAATTTTCCTATATCAGGTACTAATAATTTATAAATATATAGAACACCACGTGTTTGATTCACGCATCTGAGAACGGAAATAATAAGCAATACCTGACGAGTAACGGTTCAAGCAAAAAACTAATAAAAATATATTTTTCGTGTTATATTACTTCAGTGTGAAGTATATTATACCAAGTACCAACCGACCAGCCGCATGTACAATATAAAAGTTATAAAGTGTTTATTATGTATAAAGTCACGGTGAAAAACATATTTGTTTATGACGGAATTAATTTTTTAAACGATATTATACTAAATTATTATTATTTGGCCTAGGGGTATTATAGATATTCCACGTGGGTGATTTAAAACCAAAACGTTAGAAATGATTGTAAATGTCACAATCATTCCGTGCTATTTATAAGTGCTGATTATTCTGTCTTTGCGTTTCTATAATAATATTATGATATACTAGGTATGAACGTAAAACATATGAAATATAATATAGAAAGTGTGGGACGACCAACTGTCGTTGCGTCGAGTATATTATACTATTATACTCGTATTACTATAGTGATCGTAGTTTATAATATCTACGTCATTAATATTTTAATGAAAACACTCAGTGCAGCCGAAGGTATTTAGTCTCATACAGCAATCCAAGCATAAAAAAATATATATATATATAAATTAAACATTCACAATACATATTATTATTATTAATAAATTATCGTATTATCGTATGGGTACTCAATGCTGTAGTACCCCCTTAGTAGGTAGTTTTGGTATACTGTGTGCACGCGAAATGTAAAATAATTCTCGGCAAAAGTATAATAATATTAATTACATTTAGGTACGCGAGTACAATAATAATAATAATAATAATAATAATAGACAGGTACAATGCTAATCTCCACATTGTCAAACCGACTGGCAGACTGACGTTATATTTGTTCGAGTGCGTTTGAGTTGGAAATTATGTGTGTCATTGACTGCCCGCAAACATGGCACGATAAAATTGTTTTTTTTTTCGATTTGAATTAAAACGCCTCTCTCGATACGAGCACGTGGCAACTAAACTCGTGATTTATTCATACAACTACAACGGTCGGCTATAAATATGCGTACCTACCTATAGAGGGCCGATAGGACTCTCATGCAAAATTAATTGAGAGAAAATTAATTTTTTCGCCGTCCCACCACCACCGTCCGTATCCGAAATCACATTTTAGGTCTGCCATTAATTTGAACAGTCGGCACGATTTTTTTGATTTTTTTTTGTTATTTTTTTTTGCTTGTCGAGGTCGAAAGTTGAAAATCACGTGTTTGTTGTACAAAACTAATTTAACTACTCGAAAAAAAAAA